CTTCGTTTCAAAGACGAAACAGCCATTTGTAGCTCTGGCTACATAATTTGCAAGGGTTTATTTTCACAATGACCCTGTGTTGAATTATTCAGTATATCTTCAGTATTCAGTATATCTTTTATCTATTTTCCTTCGGCTTAGTCTCTTATTAATCTGGGGTCGCCACAGCGGAATGAATCGCCAACTATTTCAGCATATGTTTTATGCAGTGGATGTCCTTCCAGCAACCCAGTACTAGGAAACACCCATATACTCTCGCAATCATACACTACAGCCAGGCTTATTCAATTCACCTGCATCGCATGTCTATGGACTGTGAGGGAAACAGGAGCACCCGGAGAAAATCCAAGCCAACACAGCGAGAAGGTGCAAACTTCACACCGAAATGCTAACAGGCCCAGCCGGGTCTCGAACCAGCAAGCTTCTTGCTGTGAGGTGACAGTGCTAAACACTAAGCCACCCCCATTTGTGTTTAACAGTAGAAAAAAAAGGTTGATAAAAGTGGAAGAGGAGTAAATGATGACAGAATATTCTTTTTAAACTGTCCATCTCAAAAGGCAATGTTCAGTTCAAGCAGTAAAGTTGTTTTTCATCTTTGCTTTGGGAAATGTAATATATTGCTGCTGCTCAGAGCGACATTTAGATGAATATGTTAATACTGTATGTGCAGTCCACTGTGCACTCATTAACAAAAACACACACCAACAACAAAATGACAGCAATGAGAAAATAAAGCTGTTAGGGATAAAAGTTAAGGACATGTTTGCAGTTCATCAGCACTGATGTTGACAGATGAGGGTTTTGCAATTCTACTGTAATGCTTTAGTATAAATTATATTTATTAGACTATTAGCTTGGTAAATCTAATGTCACTGTTTCCGGGTGCACTGATCAGATGGCAAACGCAAATAACAAATCATGCAAATATGCACTTGAGACATGTAACTCAAATAGGAAAGTCATGATTCCAGCCGAAAAAGTCATTTTCAGCGTAGTGTTCTGCATGCATGTTTAAAGGCTTGCATATGTAATGTGTGATATTTGTCTTTTCTCTCATTCATTCTTTTTCTTTCTTTTTCATTCTTTTTCTCAATCATTCTTCCTTTCTTAGTCATCCATTCATTTTCTATCTTATTCATTATTTTTCTTAATCATTCATTCTTTTTATCTCATTTATTCTTTTCTATCGTATTCGTTCCTTCTCTTATTCATTCATATTCTTTCTTATTCATTATTTTTTCTTATTCAATCATTTTCTTTACACTTTCATTCATTTTCTTTCTTATTCATTCATTCTTATTCATTTATTCTTTTTCTATTTTATTCATTCATGCATTCTTTCTTTTCTATCTTGTCATTCATTTCCTTTCATATTCATTCTTTTCTATCTTATTTATTCATTCATTTTCTTTCTTATTCATTCTTTTCTGTCTTATTTATTTATTAATCCATTTTCTTTTTATTCATTCATTTTTATTTTTTTTATCTTATTCATTCATGCATTCCTTCTTTTCTATCTTATTAATTCATTCTTTTCAATCATTCTTTTTATTTTTTATTCATTCATTCATATTCATTTATTTTCTTATTCATTCATTCTTTTTCTTTCATATATATTTATTCATTCATTTTCTTTTTCAATCATTCATATTCATTCATTCTCTATCTTATTCATTAACTTTCTTAATTATTTTTTTATCTTATTCATTTATTCATTCATTTTTCTTATTCATTCATTCATTCTTTCTTTCATATATATTTATTCATTCATTTTCTTTTTTATTCATTTATATTCATATTCATTCATTCTCTATCTTATTCATTCATTTTCTTTATTAATTTATTATTTTTCTATCTCATTCATTCATTCATTTTCCTATTCATTCATTTTCTTTAATATTCATTTATTCATTCTAATTCATTTTCTTTCATATTCATTCATTCATTCATTCATTCATTCATTCATTCATTCATTCATATTCATTCATTCATTCATTTTCTTTCATATTCATTCATTTTCTTTCATATTCATTTATATATTATTTTTTCTTTTCCTCCGTTAATTTTTATATTATTTCATTATTCCTTCCTTTCCAAGTTCAAACTACACACCCCATTGTAAAATATGCAGAATTTGTTGTTTGTTTTGTCCTATACATGACCAGTTTACAGTTTGACTGCTATGCTATCACAAATTGTGAAAATGACAATTTACAATAACAAGTTTAATGAAGACTTTAAAACCAAGTGGACTTCTCTGCTGGCTGTTGCTTTAACAATTTGGTAAAAAAAAAAAGTGTTTTGTCTTTATTCTTGTTTATGTAAAGTACTTTGAATTGCCACTGTGTATGAAATGTGCTATATAAATAAACTTGCCATGCCTATGATAAATTTAAGTAAACACACTTTTCCTGCACCAGAAACCCTTTTACAAGCACCACATTGAAAACATTGCACACTTCAAGCACAGGTAAGTGCCCTTGACAAACAATCTGTAAGACATACAGTACAGTACTCTCTCATTTCTGTATGCTCAAAAGATTGTTTTTAAACCAACATAAACTTTGTCATAGCATTTATATAATGCTGCTCTCTAATGATTTGAAATGATTCTTTGATTCTGACATGAACTGTTTTACATAAAATCATCTGCTAAATTAACACATGTAAATAAAACACTAATCTCAACATTATTTATAAAACGTAATATAAAATGTAGCGTTTAAATCAACACAATCTCAAGGCAATTCGTAACAATTTGATTTAGTGGCTAATTCGTATGAATTCGTATGATCTAATTCATACAATTTAGTACGATTTGCTCAACCCCCAATGACGGTTGGGTTTAGGGGTGGGGTTAGGTGTCACGCCTCCTTTTTAAAATCGTACAATTTCATACGACTGAACTTGTACGAATTTGTACGAATTAGCCACTAAACTGGCAAAACGTAAAATACTTACGTTTTCTCGTGAGATCAGGCTGGTTTAAATACATATGAGAGTCCTGAAGTATAAACAAATGTGGTAAATAATTTGACAACAGATGAACAAAATACTTTTGGTGTTATTGCACACTTGTTTTAATGTAAATTATTATTAAAAACAAAACAAGTCAAAAAAGCTCAAAACACTGGCTTATAAAACAAATCTTTATTAAATGAAAAGCATTTCTTTGTCAGGTACGAAATAGAATATACAAATACTTTACACTGTCGAAAACATCAACACAATTAAACAGAAGGAAAACCCATCAGTCAAAAACATCACAGGTGCCAGAACTGCACAAACAATCGGAGAAACATCTCAAAACGTGTTAGATCTGGACGTCTAGTGGTTCAAACAAGTTTAGCATGAATCCAAAAACTGGCCTTTAGACGAGCAGTCTTGATGGGAGTTTTACAGGTCCAGATCTGACCAGTGTGTACAGTGACGGTTCAGGGTGGCGCGAAAGCCAACCAAACACCCGGTTTAATGCTGCCACAGTGTTCAATATCAGCACCTGAAGCTGAATGATGAAGATGTTGATGATGATGTACGTATGCTGATGACGTCACAAAGTGAAAAGTCTTAAAAAAAAAAACCAACAGAAATTTTGACAGTTACAGGACTAGTTCACAGAAACGCAACGAATCTGTCATCCTTTACTGCCCTTCATGCCAATCCAAAGTGTCATTTCCTGTTTTTTGTGAAACAGAATTACAAATCCTTAAATGTCTGAGCAGCCCTTTTATCGACAACAAAATTGGATAGTGATTTATGTCAAACTGCTAGAACAGGGGTGGCTAACCCTGTTCCTGGAGAGCCACCTTCCTGCAGATTTCAGTTGCAACCCATATCAAACACACCTGAACCATTAGGACCTGAACAGCGTGATAATTACAGGCAGGTGTGTTTGATATGGGTTGCAACTGAAATCTGCAGGAAGGTGGGTCTTCGGGAACAGGGTTGGCCACCCCTGTGCTAGAAAAACAACAACAAAATATTAATAAAAGTGGTCCATATGATTCATGAGAATACTTTCTAGTGGTCAAAACCATACATTTTTATATACAATAAACAACAGAAATCTTCCACTCCAAAAAGCTAAAAAAAAATAAATAAAAAAAAAGACTGAAGAAGTCAAATGGATTATAAAAATGGTGCACTGACATTATAATCGATGGCTATTGATCAAACGATGTCAAATCCACTACAAAAGCCCCTGATTTGAAGTAAACAATGACTTTTCTCAAATAAATCTCTTGTATGGCTTGAAAATATGTGTATACGTCATAATAAGGTTGTTTTTCACTGTTCAAAATTAATGTTCACTGTATGAAAAACAACAGTTCATCTCATTATGTAGATTCCTAACATAAGCATGAGTAAATGATGACAGTTTCTTTGTGAACTATTCCTTTAACTTGCAAAAACAACACCAATCTTGTTTGCTGTGTTTTTAAGGTAATAATGGCTGTGGGTGTGTCTAAAGGTGCTGGTGTTCTGGGATTGGTGCAGCACAGTGTCAGTCACACAGGGGCATCAGTGGTACTGCACGACGCACACAACGAAAAGGAAAAAAAAAAAAATAGATGACCGGACACATTGGGACGTCTGAGTTTGACTGCTGGTGAAGACCATTAACCCCTTCAAACATCATCTGTTGCTCACAGGTCTCATCTGCAGGTCGTTTCAGACTCTTTGGCATTCGTCACCAATCAGCGGAAATATATCATTTCATTTACACCGACATAAAAATGAGTTTCGCAACTGGAACAAAATAAGATCAATCAGACACAGAAGCTCTACTTCCCACACCGCTACGTACTGTAAATTCACAATAAAACAACTTTGTGTTGGACTTGTTCTACTAAAACTCTGTACAAATTTGTACATGACTATCTATTTTGTAAACCTTTTTGTTTTCACTCACACACACACACGAACACATTTATTTGCGCTGTATAACAGCGACAAAAATGCATGTTTTGTCTCAGGTACCTCATGAGAACACATTAGTTCATTTGCATCGTCGCCCAATCAGCTCACATGAAGTCATTTAGCTCCGCCTCCAGCGCAGCAGCCATTTCATCGGCCTCCGAACTGCTGCCCTCATCGTCTTCATTGGAGTCTTTACTGGAGTCGCCATCCTCTTCATCCTTATCTTCATCCTCTCTGGCCTCCTCCAGTTTTCTTTTATGGCCCCTAAAGATAGAAAGCACAGAGGCGTTGGTCAGTCAAAGAAGCTCATTGGTTCAAAGCCGTTTAGTTGCCAGGGTTGTGCATGGCAGTGTCGAGTGCTGTTGACAGTGATTGGTTGCAGCTCTCTGTCATGGTTTGCAGGCTGTTGGTCCACATGTCACCATCTGCACCTGCATCTGACAGGCACCAGTGGAGAGCATCGGTGCCAGGAGTCTAGTGCACTTCAAAACTCAAAATGCTATCCTAACATACACTCCAAAACATTTGGTGGAGGATTTGCTTCAGAACTATTTTCACTCTGAACGTGGGGGTACATTTCATAAATAAATCTAAAGAACTCAGAAACTGGAGAGAAAAAGAATCAGGAAACCATAAAAAGATAACATGTAAATAACAATTAAATATGAAATTTTAAAGTGGAAAGGAAAACAGCCAGATGTTGGAAGTCAAAATTAATCGATTCTCATAATGGAGTAACTTAATTTCAACAACAACTAGGTTACACTAAACACTAACGCTAGACATTATTTGAGTTGAGATTGAGATGTTGGAGATGCCGAGCAACTTATTATTATGTTAAAGAGAAAATGGCTTGGAGAAAACTATCATTCAGATGCTGTGCAAAATGAGCACCAGTTTTAGTTTGCACCAGACACATTTTTACAATCACTTACAATCACAGAAACTGCATTTATGAAGTACGCTTCACACCGGTGAGTGGGTTTGACAAACCACCTCTTTTTCTCAAAAAACAAAAACAAAACTCCCTTCTCCTTAATAGAGCACAAAATTCTCTGAGCACTAACCATGCATTTGTAGAACTAGCACTTCTTGTGTGTATTACTGCTTCTTGTTGAATGCTGAATTCCTTCTCAATTGTAAGTTGCTTTGGACAAATATATCTGTTAAATCAGTGGTCCTCAACCACCAGGCTGCGGATTACTATCTGGTCCGTGGATCAATTGGCAGCGTGTATCACAAGAAATCATTAATTATTTACATTTTATTTATTACCCGAGTCTGAACAATCTTTTATTTTGACAAAAGTTTTTTTCTGAATGATCGTATTCTCTCGCCTACATCTCAGTCACTTGAGAGCCCAAATTCAAGTCACAAGCAGCAAAATTAGTAAGAAACAGACATCTTTGGAAAGTTTCTTTGCTAAGAGAAAAGGCCCAGTGAAGGACTTGCCAAGGGATGGATCTGCAACTCATTTGTCAACAAATTAAGTGAATCCACCATGTCTGCGCAAAAAGATCAACTGCTGGAGATCGCAAATGATGGTGGCCTTTAGGGGCCGTTCGCAAACTGCATCTTTTCCAGAGTTTGCACAATTCATTATTTCCAATGGAGGTGTGCAGCTTGCTCACGCAAAAGGTGTGATGTGCTCAGGCCTTCCAGACGACCCAGTTGAATGAATCCCACGAGTCAAGTGACAAGAACTAATCAATCAGCTACAGCTTGTATGGAATACACATTTCATTAGACTAATTATCTCAGACAAACACAGAACACACGAACACCGCAGTGCTTTGGAATTTTCTCTATAAATAAAACTTGTATCAGAGTGACAGCAATGTTTTGTCAGCTTGTCATCCTCTGAGAAAACGGTTGATGGTCGCCTAGCAATCTACGAACCGTTATTAACCATTATCATTTCTTTTTAAATGATATCATTCTCTGTGGTTCATGATATTTAGGTAAACAAACCCTGAACAAAGTACTGTACATTTTTATTTAATTGATTTTCAGACTTTTTATTGGCTTGTTACAACAAGTGTTAAATGTTATTTTACATTTCGATAGACACATTTCTGGAAAAACAAACAAGCAGTCAGATATTATTTACACATTTAAAAATCCACAGCTTGAGTTATAGAATAAACAAAGTAACATCTCTTACTGTACACCAATACAGAGTGTTTGTTTGTTTGTTTTTTTGGCTGTGTTGCAGAAAAACAGAAGAGTTGCACTCGAAATCTTTATTTGCATACAATCCTATTTCAGTCGATTACACTCATGGTTACAGCAAGCTATCTAAATGCAGAGTGTGACAGTCTTATTTTTGTGACAAAGTAAGAGTGAAAGTTCATGATGAAATCTGAACACAAGTAATAACAAGAGATGCATTTGAATAACATTTCCTTCCATAACTAATATAATGGCACACCATATGTATCTAAAGCTATTGTGTTTAGCATAACTTTACACACAAATGTGACTTGCATTTGACAAATCAGAATCAAACACTCCTGTGCTGGCCAATAGTTTGACTTCCTGAGGTAGACATATAACACTAGGGTTAAGCAGCTTACCGCTACATATAAACACCTGGACTTGCTAGAAAGTGCTACTGATCACAATAGTGCTATTGATACACCAACTAAAAATAACGCAAATACAAAAATGCAAATGTTCTTAGCAGTTCCAATCACTCCCTTTTACAATCACACAATCAACCACAGAGATTACTGTATGTCTGGCCATGAAATAATGCATCTTCTCTCATGTATTTGCATTGAAGTGCTTCTGACAGAAAGATGATGCAACACTGTTCTGCTCACAACCGAATGAATGCTGCTCTCTTAAACACAGTCCTGAACAGATGATTCATAATAAATGTGATGGTCTGCTGATAAGCGAAAAGGATTCGGTTAAAATGCTAATTGTCTCAAAGGGCCCATCAATCACTGACGGTTTCTGTCTGGAAGAAATACGGTTTAAAAGTGGAGGTCAGGAAGGTTTTTTTTTAAACATCTGAAAGAAATTAGCTCTTATATTCAGCAAGGGCACGTTCAGTTGATGAAAAATGACAGGAAATAAAATTTTTTAAGTTTTAAAAGATTGCTGTCAAATATATGCTATTCGACAGCGTTTTAACTTCAAAACTTACAATTGTGTGTTATAAAGTCCGACTTGAAAAACACAAACTTGCAATACTGAGAAAAAGGATTCAGTTCTGACTCTATGATATGCACTGCCAAGTTTATACGGTCTCGCAAATGGAAAAAAAAACTGTATCACAAGATGAAAAAAAAAAAAAAAAAAAATATATATATATATATATATATATATATATGGTGATGAAGAAACTAAGGATTTGAAAATACTTGTAACAAGGATTCTTTAATCCATGTCTGTGTTGCTTTAAGAAAGCAACCATTTATTCATGTATTATTAATTTTATAATTTTATTTAAACGTTTGATTATTAGTCATTTATAGAATTATCATTATATCATTTTATTGATTATTACTTAATGATTTGATTATTATTATTATTGATTATTCTTTGCCATTTCATTATGTTTTTATATTTTGTTTTGACTATTTTCCTATGAATATTGCTTAATTATTATTTCATTTTTCCATATTGTAATAATCTTATGACTGTGGATTAAAGCGACACTTGTTTTCATGAGTAAGAGATAAAAGATTGTCTCCATTTAAGGTCTGTATTGTCTCTGGACAATGTTGTGAAGCAGTAATCTTCCATTTCTGTTGCTTGTGGTATAATAACACTTGTTGCATTTATCCTGGCCAGACAAAGTCTAAACACTGAATCATACACAACAAAGATTATTCATTAAACTCTGCTCTTTCTTTATCATCATTCCTTTGTCTCTTGCTTTTGTTTTTCTTTGGATTTTTCAATCAAATCCTATAATGATAGTAAGAATGTCATTCAGCTGAATAACGGTTAACAGGTTTGGGTACTGGGTGGTTCTGTTGGCTATTGTCTAAATGTTCAAAGAAAATCATTTTCTGACAGGATCTGGCATCCAGGGCTAGATTTTATTTTTCTTGCATGGAGAGTGTGTTCTAACAGTGAATATTGCATGATTTAAAGATGTCAGACCTTAAGATTGCTGATTTATCAGTCAGAATTCTGAGATAAAAAGTTGTCTTTTTTTTTTAAAGTTTTTTTTTTTATTTATTTTGTGGCAGAAACGTTTTCAACATTAATAATAATAATAAGCATTGTTTCTTGAGCATCAATTATATTAAAAAGAATTTAATCACGCAAGATTTAAAAATTGAGTAATGATGCTTTAAAATTCAGCTTTAAAATAAAATAAAATAAAATAAAGTACAGCATTCATTCTTAAAAATTGTAAATTGAGTAATGTTATATGTTGGTTTCCCTCAATCTTCATTGGCACAATTGCAGTTGGTTCAAAATGCGGCAGCTAGACTTTTTACAGGCACCAAAAAACATGCTCATATCTCACCAGTTTTAGCATCCCTTCATTCGCTTCCTGTTAATTTTAGAATTAAGTTAAAGATTTTACTTATTGTTTTTAAAGCACTATATGGGCAAGCACCTTCTTTTATATCAGAACTTATGAACCTACAGTCAACTCATCAGTCTCTTTGGTCGTCAAATTTTACCGCAAATTTCTTGGTCATGACTTAAACGGAAAGGAGATAGGGCCTTTGCAGTCACTGCTCCATGTTTGTGGAACCAGCTGCCACCGGACATTACAAGGGTTTCTTCTCTCTCTATATTTTAAGTTTAGACTTAAGACACATTTTTATTCTATTGCCTTCCCAGGCTTTCAATCTTTATTGTGCTTTGTTGCTGTAATCCTCTTATTCCTATTATTAATTTTATTGTTATTTTACTGTTTTAGACTGTGTGCTATGGTTTTGTTCAGCACTTTGGTCAGTGCCAAACTAAAGTTAAATGTGCTTAATAAATAAACTTTACTTTCTTGCAGGTCTGCTCGATTTTGGGAAAAATCATAATCACGATTTTTTGGTCATATATATAATGACAATTATTCAAAACGTTTATCAGTTAAATTACTTATTAGCAATCCTGGGAATTTTTTTTTTACTTAATATTTCTCAAATGATGTTTAACAGAGCAGGGAATTTTAACAGTATTTCCTCTAATATTTTTTCTTCTGGAGAAAGGCTTATTTGTTTTATTTTGGCTAGAATAAAAGCAGGTTTAAATATTTTGAAACCCATTTTAAAGTCAATATTATTAGCCCCCTT